GCGGGCGGGCCCAGCAAACACAAGATGCAGTGGCACCGACCAAGTGAGAGCCAGTAGAGGGGGGACCAGGCAGAGGAGCGCGAACCCAGCCCGGTGCCGGCGCAGAGTCCCGGGACCAGTGCACCTGGGGTCCGGGTGGGGTGCAGGACCAGACCTTCCCCGTAGAAGGCCGGGGCAGAGGGTGGGAGCCGAAGGTCTCTTAGCCTCCTTACCGAGCCCTCCTTCCACTGAGCTCTGTAACCATCACCCCAGTTCTCTCGAGATCCCCAGTACTAGAAGAGGGCCGTTGGGCCGCCCTGCAAACTCTGGCTGGAGCCAGGAACCTAGTGGAAGGCCACAGCTTGCACTGGGGCCTAACCCCAGGGCCAGGCCTGCCTCTGCTGTGCTCCCTGCACAGTAGTACTGCCTAGAATTGACCATCGATGCTCGGTCCCCATTCTTCCTCAACTCTGCTTTCCAGCAGGCAGGCAGCGCCCCTTCCCTCCCGCACTGAGAGTGAGTCCAGGGCCTTACACTCATGCTTGGCAAGAATTCCACAGCAGTGAGTTCAATCCTCTTTGCTACTCTGTATTTTGAGACTAAGTTCCCTAGGCTGACCTTGAACTCAGTCTACAGCCCAAGCAGACCACCGATTCTTCTGCCACTGCCCAGGTGACAGGTGTGAGCCACCACTCCGGTGTTGTTTATTGTTTTCTGAGACAAAAACTAACAATGTAGCTGAGGCTGGCCTGAAATTTTCTTTATGTATGGCCCTGGTAGTCTTGAACTCAGGATATTTTTGCCTTTGACTCCAGACTGCCGGTAATACAGGCATGCATCACCATGCCTGGCTTCTCGCAGCCATGAAATAAACATCCAGAAGCCTTCGGTACACTTCCTATCACTTCTCATTAGCATAACTTGTATCACATTCGTGTTGAAGCCAACCCATTGCCAAGGCCAATCAGAAATGTGAACAAAATTCAAAGGACTCAAGTGTCTGTGGTGTCTCCTTCTCGCCTTTGCAGCGTAGGGTTCTGTGGAGAAGGTAAGAGCAAGTCAACCTTCTGACCCAGGAGAACAAATCAACAGCAGAGGCGGAGGTGGCCTACTTACCGTGCTGACATACTGCAAATATACATAGATAATCAGCCAGAAGTCAGGGTCTAGGTCACCCAACCAAAGAAAGATGGTGGTCAGAAGTCCACCTTCCAGGCAGAAAGAAGACCAAATAACTAGGGGGGGGGGGTGCTTCAAGGAAAGGCTTATAGTTCTGACACCACATTGAGGTCCTCGGAGAAAGCCTGTATTTCCAGAAAGCTGGCTCGCAGCACAGTGAAACAGGAGTTATCAAAGCAGTTCTTTGCTTTCAAATGTTAAGTGAAGGTGAAAACAAGCGAGAATGGGCCATTGAGACGGTTCAGTGGGGAGTGGTCTTTGTTGCGGAAGGAGCCTGATGATCGGAGTTTTAATTCTGGGACCTCCGTGGTGGAAGGAGAGAACTGAGCTCCATAAGTTACCCTCTGACCTCCAGATTCATGGCATTGTACACGCACACCCCACCCCATGATACACGCACACGTATCATGTATCATGTAAGTAGATAAATGTAACTTTTAAACAGCCACCAAATGGAAGAGAGCAGACAAAAGGAAATGGAAATGCTGTAGCTTACAGATAAAATACTGGTTGGACATGGCATGCCGCTGTGGTCCCAGCACATGGGATGCTGAGATGGGAAGTTTGAGTTTGAGGCCAGCCTGAGGTGATCAGTAAGAGCTAGTTTTAAAGATAAAAAGCTAACCAAACAATAAAATATTGCTGTCTACAGCAGTGTTTCTCAACCTGTGGGTTTTGGCCCTTATCAGATATTTACATGATAATTCATAACAGTAGCAAAATTAGACTTATGAAGTAGTAATGAAATAACTATGGTTGGGGGGTCACCACAACACGAAGAACTGTATTAAACAGCCCCTGTATTAGGAAGGTTGAGAACCACTGGTCTACAGGCTGGAGAGAGGTCAGTTAGGAGCATTGGTTGCTCTTTCAGAATACCCCAGTTTATATGACAGCTCACACCTGTCTGTATCTTCAGTTCTAAGGATCTAACTTCTTCTTCTGGTCTTCTCAGACACCAAGCATGTATGTGGTGCACAGATACACATTCAGGCACCCTATATGAATAATTTATATTTTGAAAACATTGTCTAATACCCCAAAGATTTTATATTTCTAAAACAAGAACAGGTTACTATACAAGTGAGGGAAAATGTTTATTAGACTTTAAGAAATATCTCTTGGAAATTAAAAACAATAGAACCCCATTTAAAGAGTTATTTATTTTTATTTTATAGGTGTCATGCCTACATATTATGTGTGTGCAGTGCCCAATAAGCCCAGAAGAGGGCGTTGAATCCCCTGGAACTGGAATTGGATTCTTTATATTATGTTACAATATGTATTATATAATGTTAAAATTGTGAATTGGAGCTTGTAAGATAGTAAAAGCTTTTGCTGCCAATTCTAGAGACCTGAATTGAATCTCTAGAACCCACTGGGAAGAGAGAACTCCCAAAGCAGTCCTCTTACCTCCATATACGTATGAATGCTTGTGCACACACACACCCAACACACACACCTTTGTTGTTGTTGTTTTGTTTATTTAACATAATTTATTTATTGCTTCTTTGGGAATTTCACATCATGCATCCCTCATATCCACCCCTCACTGCTGCAGAGTCTCCACACCAAAAGAAAAAAATTCAAGACAGGGTTTCTCTGTGTAGCCCTGGCTGTCCTGGAACTCACTCTGTAGATTAGGCTGGCCTTGAACTCACAGAGATCCACCAGCCTCTACCTCCCAAGTGCTAGAATTAAAGACCTGTGCCACCACCACCCGGCTAAGAAAAAATTTTTAAAAATTAAAAATATTAAGTCCAAACAAAACAAGCGAGCAAGCAAACAAACAAAAAAGAACAACAGCACACAAACAAACAAACAAACAACAACAAACCCTCTTCGCTCCTCCGTCTTCCCCACCTCTCCAACACCTCATTTGTCCTGGTGGCATTGGGAGCTGCCGTGTGTCCAATCAGCTTTACTTGCAAATGTTCATTGCAATGAACCATTGGTCTGGCTCAAGGCCTCTGGTTTCTAGTACTTCATCATCCCTGGATCCTCACTGAAACTCCTCTCAGACATCTTGCAGCTGCTGC